ATTCAATAGCAAAAAACCCAAAAGATTCAGTAGATGACGTCACAATATTTGACCTTTGACATCGTGATATGACCTTGACCTTTGTAGTACATAAAGAATAGAGACTCCTTATATACGTTTCCAAATATCACTCCTCTACTATTCATGGAACAAAAGTTGCACTGCATTTTATAACAGACTGTTACATGTTTTTTCTGCACTTAGATAGCGTAAACACATTCCAAAATATAAACTCCCAAATGACCAATATATAGGATTCTCTGATTTTGTCTCAAAATATAACGCAAATTTGCCAAAACTTATTATTTTTCTTTCAGGTATCATTCATTTTTGTCAGTATAGTTATATTATTCTTTTTCCCCCAGTAATTTTTAAAAAATGGGTAAAATAGAATCCACGGGTGTTTTGTCCTACCTTAAAAAGTCTGTCAGCATTTGGCTCTATGATAAATTGTATTTGCTAGAAAGGTCATTGTGTCGACCATAGAACTTAAGAAATGATGACTTTAAAGAAGACTGCTAGTACTCTTGTTTTAATTCTTTCTTTTAAATGATTCACCTCGTTTTAGAAATTGTTCCTACGTAGACCATGCTCTTGCGCATCAAAGCAACTGAGATATATAAACCCCGTATGCAGGTGATGAAGGGATATATCTGCATAGCAAGGGAATTCTAAGATGACAATGTAAAATTAAGGTCATTAAGTTTATCAAAGAGTTTTGTTACCATTGATGTGTTTTTCAAGTAAAATATCCAAATATGAAACCACATATGAAACAGATGTGTTAGACTCTGTGGTATCTTTTATCTCAAGCTCACTGGGATATATGCTATCGACATAAAATGGAAGCTACCATTGTTATCTGACATTACGTCGTCGATATATCTGCATGTCGAGTTGAACGCCGCAGCAAGTATATTGTATTTTGTTTTTTTCCACGTATAATGTTTTGAAAAATCCTGCTACATATGAATACAAAAATAGGTCCGCTAATAACAGGGTGCAATCGGTACCCATGGCAATCCCAACAGACTGTTGGAAGACCAGGTCTTCTGAGACAACATATACATCGTCAATCAAAAACTCAAGCATCTTTTTGATGTCGACTTCAGGGTACATGTGCGTACAATCAAAATGTTTTTTTTTTGTTTTCACACAAAAAGCCTTGACGTTAATTTATCGTGTGGAATGGTTGTGTATAGAGTTAAAAAGTTGTAAGTTTATTATCGTCTCAAGTCACGTTGCGGAGTCCGCATGTAGCTCTCTCCTACCTGTTGCTGCGCACATAAATTGTCGTAATCTTGAATATTTACGCCAATATGCGATATACGTCATGTTCAGTCAATGACAATATTTGTTTCGATTGCAATTGAAATCAACATTAATATCATCAGTACACAAAACATATTTTGAAAACTGATATTGGGTATTATATGGTAAAGACTAAGTTCATTTTCTGACTATGATTTTCTCGCATTGGTCAATGTTTTATTGAAGTATGGAATATTCTCTCCTCTTTCAAACCACGGCCAAAATGGTAGACGGTCGTACATTTGGACTGTAGTTTGCGATGATGTAAGTTTTTAAGCTGTTGCGTTTTTTTAAACCTTGTGATTTCAAATTGTCAAAAAGCTGCTTGAAATTGTATGCATCCACATCTGTTTTACACCACTTCTTGAATATATTGTTGCTTTTGAAGTTTCTCCTTCACTACTGTTAATATCTTAGTGAGGAGTAAAGAATAAAGAAAGAGACTTGGTTGAGCATTTACTGGAACCCGCTATGTATCTTTGTTTTTAAGGATTTTTATAAAGTTTTAAAATCCAATATAGATATGGTTATCTATCTATGTCCTCAGAAAACCATCTTTCGATCATCAGATTATCCATTTACTTTTCCCAGAAGAAAGTTCTGATACAATCTGTATGTTAAATAAGCAGTTTGAAAAAAAGATACAAGGCTTAAATGTTTAATACCTTGAGGTTAAAGAATTGTCATTCATATACGTACTGGTATGAGTAAATGTACCCCTTTATACTTTTATTATGCATGTATTTACCTCCTTAAAGTTTTGCATGTATTTACCTCCTTGAAAGTTGTTTGATTTTCCCAAACATCTAAATGATGTGCTTCTTTTAAATTGAACAGAATTTTTTTATATGAAATTTGTGACATCCCAAATGTTATCTTCCAATCATAATTAACGGCTTAGTAATGATGGATGCTTCCACTATGTAAGGGATAAAAAGATATTTTAAAATTTCTGGACCGTAGCAGTTAGGAATCTTATTTTTGTATCAAAAGGACGTCTGCTTTTTAAATGGGGCGTGTTTGAAAAACGCTTTGCTAAACATGCTATGTTTGATGAGCAACAAAGACGCCCAGATCTAGATTACGAACCTTTGCTGAAAAATATAGACCATAATAATGACGTTAGCTACTTTAACATTTGATTAATTGGAAAAGAATTATCAAAACACATATCTATGAGTTCAGTGCACTTGTCTACTAACATGTTAAGATATCATATCGCAACATATTAAACAACCCGGTTAAAACTTATTATAAATATTTGTATGTCAAATAAGGTAATCTCTATCAATATTTTAAAGCCATTTAAAAAGTAAGTAGCTGTACATGTATTTTGAGGAGAAATGAATGTCTTTCCCTCAATAAATTTCAAAGGCACGCAGACATTACATCACAGCAAAAATTATTTTTCTCTGAAATAAATGTCATCGAGAAAAAAAAAGCAGACATTATCAAACAAAAATGAATAACACTACAATTAACAATTTTTCTTATAGCAAATTAAACTTTACCGTGTCTTTAAATATCATCATTTCCTTAAGTTAAATTTTATTTATGTATTTGAATTTTGTATTAATTGGAGTATATTTATCAACAAGAGGCCCTCGGGCCTTATAGGTCACCTGAGTATCATATACCAACTTTCAAACAATTGAATTTGGTTCATGTTTTAAACCAGAGGCCATGAAATTCACAATTTTGAAAGAGGCGCCATTGCATATCATATTATACAGCATTTTATTAAATGATTACTCTAGTTACTAAATACCCAGAGGTAGATCAGAGTAACAAAGAGAAAATGCACTTCCACTTTATAACCAGTTTTTCACTCCACCCAAAAGGAACCACTGACCCTGGGGCCTCTTATTTCAAAATTTTGGAAACTTTATCATAAATTTTATTTCATCATAAATAGTTGATTAATACCAAAGAGCAAATTTCAGAGCAGTAATTTATTTGCAGACCATGTACCCCCCCCCCTTTACCCCTGACCAGGCGACATGAAATTAACCATTTTGCTAAATGCACCTTCTATCATCATAAATAAATATACTTAGATCATTGGCATAATACCCTGCAGCAAAGAAAAGATTTTCACAGAATCAATGTATTTTCTCTATATAATCAAAATAGCCCCCCCCCCCATCCTTACATCAACTGGTAAAACCCCTATTATAGAGGCCATGAAATTATCAAATTTAATTGAGGCACTCTTGCTCATTATAACAATATACTAAGAAAGTTTATTTAATACCCAGGAGCAGAGAAGAAGATTTTCAAAGAATTAATGCATTTTCACTATGTAATCAATAGAGCCCCAACCCTAACACCAGTATCCCTGAGCCTGGGGCAATAAAATTCAAAATTTTAAAAGAGGCATTCTTGCTTATCATAACTATGTACTTAGTTAGGTTTTTTTAATACCAAGTTGCACAGAAGAATATTTTTCAAAGTATTATATAATGCATTTTCACTATGTAATCAATAGAGCCCAGCCCTAACACCAAAACCCCTTATCCTTGGGCCATAAAATTCACAATTTAAAAAAAAAGACTCGTACTCTTCATAAATATATAGTTATATAATTACTTAGTTAGTTTATTTAATACCCAGGAGCGAAGAAAAAGATTCTCTAAGAAATTATGCATTTTCACCGAATAATCAATAGAGCCCCGCTTTAACTCCAGAACCCCTGACTTTGAGGCCATGAATTTCATAATTTCGGTAGAGGACTCAATGCTCATTATTTTCATACCAACAGTTTAACTGCGTGATGTCAAGGGGTAAAGTGGAAGATTCTTAAAGCATTCATTTATTTTAGAAATTTTAGACCCAACCTTCACGCAAGTAAGTTAAGGCTAGATAGAGGCTTTTCTAAGCAAAGGAGCTAACGAAAATGCATAAATTTTGTACTTTTTACCAAGAGAAACTTAGAGCTTATTTTCTTATGCATACTTTGTACATACAAGATTGTCTTGGGTTCCAGGTTTATAGAAGAAAACAAGTTTTTACTTTTTCTGAGCAATAATTTCAGCCCTTATGCGTTTTATTTAGTTAATTGCATAGATATTTCTATACGTTGCCTAAACTTACACACACAGGCCCAAGGGGGGCAGGGGCCATAAAATCCACCTTGTTTCTCTTCACCCATAGATGCTGTATAAGAAATTTGGTTGAAATTGGTTAGGTGATTAAAGATCTGAAAATGTTCAAATGTTAACACACGATGACGGACGAAAACGGATAGCAGTAGGTCACCTGAGTGACTCAGGTGACCTAAAAAGAGTAGATAAATGTTGGTAAATACTTCATAAATTTGATAAGAGAGAGACCGTTTTTTTTAAATTGTGTATCAAGTACGTAGACGCGTTTATTTAATTGATAACTGTGTGACATACTTTATAATATGATTATTTCTCTATTCTAGGAAGAAAAAAAAATCAGCGTTCTAGGAAATTACAGATGTATAGTATCGTAAACCTTATGATTTTCTGAGGTTAAAGTTCTTCGACAATCAAGTCTTTATAAAGTCATGTTGCAAGGAAGCAGATAATTATCTTTCAAAATATTCAAGCAAAGGTACATGTATCTTGTAAAACGGCAAAAAAATAACCTACAGTAGCAATAGCATATAAGACATAGAGCGGAGCATTTTTTGTAGACATATTTCTTGTTAACTTTTTAGAGAAAAAGCTCTAGAATGGCAGACAGTCAAAGCGAAGCTAACGAACCACTCTTGGGCCGAACAAGGGGTAAGTATGATTGATTTTCTTTAAAAAATATTATTATTGATCCCTAAAGCTTAATTAATATATATTTCTTCATTTTATATCAATTGAATATAAAATCGTTAAGATGATTAAATGAATCAATTGAAATTATCAATATTAAAGATGTTGAATCGACTTCCATATTATACTTTTCCGGAATTTATCAATATATAAACTAGTCCGACTTCTGTTATGTAATATGTTATACGCCGTGTAATACTCATTGAAGTTTAGCATACTTAAATCTCCATGTACTGTTTTGCTACATGAAAATCTAATCTCATTTATAATTTAGATAAGAAAAACAATATATCATTTATGTCATTAACATAGTAAAGTACCGTAAAAAAGTGATGTGTAATAAATGGCATATGGTCGTATTTGTATCTTTACAAAATAACAGCTGTCTAACGTATGTGTAGCCACACTTTTTTAAAAAAAAATTAACTGTGATTTTTGGAGTCAGATTTTTCTTTCTTGAAGAGGTTTGTAGGTAAGTTTTAAGCAGAATCTAGTATTACCCCCTTTTCTAAACAAAATTTGCATGTTTTGGTTCCTATCAGAAATTTTGATTTTACAACGCCAATCAAACTATTATATTAAAAAATATTTTTAAAAATTCATCGCCGAAAGCATTAACTGTGGAATTCTATTTTTTAGCAGTAGGGTTTTAATTTTTGGAAGATTACTTTTTCTTTGTCTTTCGAAGTATACAATTTGATATTTTATGCTGGTCCTATATATTTAAATTTAGATAAGATAGATATCACAGACATTCTAAATATATTTTCTGAATATATTTACATGATTTTAACTTAATTTGAAGTTGAAAAAAAATGTCATAACCTTTTAATGATTTAATTGCTGTATTACGTTTAACGTCAGAACAATAACATTGTTTGAGTACAAAATATTAAAATAATTAACCATGCCAAGTAATTTGAAACTAATTTGTTGACAAAATTGAAATTTGATCTTATTCAGTATGAAAATGACTGTGTTTGAGGGAATAATTGATTTCATAAAAATACATGAGGAAAAATTGATTCATGTGTTACTTTTGATCATAGATTAAAAAAAAGGGTTGAATTAAATGCTCCGTTGTGCAAATGAAGCTAACTGACAACCCTTCTCCATTTTTATTCTTTTAATTCAAAATTAAGGTATGTATATATAAATATTCTAAACATATGCTTAATTATAAATAATTACTCCATATTTCTAATAGCAGGATCCACCCTTCCTAATTTGCAAGATGTAAAGAATTGGAAGGCTATTGGTTCATCTGGTTTACAAGGTGGATAAAATCATATTGTTCTAGAGTATAGTTTGAAATCGTATTTGTTTTTATGATAAGTAAAATGAATATTTATGACATCATTATACGACATAATAGTCAAATTTCCCATATAAATTCGGTCTTGCCTTTTCTAATTTTTGATCATCTGGTTAATCAAAATAAACATTCATTTTTAAAATGTTGTACTTTTCATGTTTAACATCATTATAAATTTCTATGAAATGGCTTGTCTAATTAGTTTGGCAAACCCTTTTGTTCAAAGGTAGATGGATCAAAATATAAGGTCCTTTTATTTACCCCAAGCTTGTATGCAGTAATTAAAATTTATGAAGATAACTAACAGTATTCAAGCCCAGAAGTCCATAAAGCAAAACAAACTTTTGAGCAGTGCAAAAACGAACCTCTAAATTAACAATCAAAAGTGGGATCAGGTGCCATGGAGGAGTGAACATACTCTGCCGACCGGTGATGAAGGTAAATTGCAGCATAAGTAAGGGAAGTAGACGATTGTTAAGTTAGGTATCGCGTTTATTGTAAATATTTCTGATACACTTATGCTTAAAGGCTGTACAATTGTGTATTAACAGTGAAGATACACAAGAATATAACAAGTCAATATCCATACTTATATACTCAACATATATTCTTTTCTTGTGAGGAATATCTTTTAACGATAATGATTAAATGGGGATTATGTTTTATTTTCTTTTTTTTAAAGGAGGAAAAGTCTACATTACGCTGGCAATCGTAATTTTGGCGATTGTGTTCTCAATGATGACTGTGAATTGGACAAAGATGATTTATAATGAAGAGGAATCGAAGTCTATGCTTTTTGGAGTATTACTCTGCAGTATTACCATAGGGATTATAAGCATTAGCTTTGTTTTATTGTCTGTACTTCGTGGTGAGAGCCACGGGAATAGGTCAAGGCAAGCAGACTCCTTTTCAGAAAAAGTTAAAAATAAAGCAGGTGTTGGTTTTGGACTCCTAAATTTTGTACACTGTGCATTTTTTATTAACAAGCATGCTCATGGAAATGATGAATGCACTGACAAAGGGCTTGGTATTGCTTATAATGTAATGTCAATAATATACACAGTCCTCCTTATCTGGGGTTTATTTGCCTTTAGGTTATCAAAATCAACAACTATTCATCACTTTTCCTCTATAGGCATTCTGTTTGCCAATTTCAGTTTTTGGTTAGACACAATTTTTTCAGAGTCTGGAGATATCTTTCATTACGAAAATAACCAAGAAACAACAAACGTAACCTCTCCTACACCACTTTGCAATTACAGTGAAACAGCCACCAGTCTTATTAAAGATATTGACCCTCTACTTGCTCCTTGCTCTGTAGAGTTTGCAATCATTTCCATAGACCTTCTTTTTTCCACCCATGAAGAAACCGAATTAGATTCTGTTAATACTACCAGTCATGATGCACAGCGGAACATAGAGACTGGGGGTCTGATTGATGATAATCAAAGACGAAAAGAATTTACAGAAAAAGCCCCAATCCTTTTCTTTGTAATACTGTCATCATCTTTGGTTATAATAGCCATTGTTAGTTACATAGTAACAGTAAAAGACGACAGTAAAGGGCACGACTTTTTTGAAATCTATATGTGTCTTTCAGCTTTGCTTAAATTTGCGATGTTTTGCTGCATAACAGCGTGTCTCATAATGTCTTGGAGTTCTTTTGATTTCGAGTTTACCTTGGAAGGGCTTATTTTAATGTTAAGTTGTTTTATGAATGTTGTGTACCACATGTTCTACTTATTTGCAATATGGAAAGGTTCTAAAATGGAAAAGGATGACACTTTAGTAACATTTCTTGGAATTTCTTATTTTGAAAATATATTGAGTATTTTTCTTGCTGGTGAACAAACTGTTTTCATTTTGGCAATAGAAAATAGCAAGAAAATGAATGAAAATAAGTACAAATCTAAAATTTATTTCCTTTGTGTACTTTTAAGTTTAAGCAATTTTGGTATTTGGGGTGGTGACTCCTTTGGTGAGGCGAAATTGCCTGCACTCAGTTTTATTGTAGAGAAATACTATAGTCAAACGTTTTGGATAATCTGCACGAAACTAATACTGCCCTTTACGATTTTTTTTCGAATTCATTCAGCTCTGATGTTTCTAAAAATGTATGGAAAAAGGAAAACTAATAACCAAACAAATCCTTCTTTAAATACTATCCCCAAAATTGCAAGTTCAGATTGATATAGAAACATATAAAAGCTATAAATGTTCAATTCATGTGCATACAATGTGTGGCTACGATAGAAAATGATTTGCTATGTTTTTCAATTTTGTAAAGAATTTAAAATATGGTGCATGTACTTCTTATCTCACTCAAAAAATTACTTTTCATTCCTTTCTTCTTTCATGTCGAAAAAAAATTAGAAAGAAACAATCATATGTCATCATAAAGAGACGTTCCATAAAATGCAATTATTTGGGTAAAGAACCTTTCTAAAAGTTTTTGTTCTGTACCAATTACAACTCCTCGTAAGGAAGTGCATTTCATGTTCATTCTCTTATCATAACTTTTAAACTTTGCCTGTGCTATCAATACAATGTAGACTGGAAAATGTATTAATAATTGACTTGGTCTATAATAATTAATTTTTCTGATTCAAATCGAAGATTATTTTATTTTGATGATCATATTTACACTTTTTATGCTGTATGCATTTTACAAAGTATATGTATTTAGTATTATGATTTTAATCTTAACATAGTAAAAGACGATTCTGAAATTGTCTAAAGAATAATATAACGAAGAAAAATAAAAAAAAATATATACACTGAACCAAACTTCTAAGTGTTCACCTAACATTTTTGAAGATTTAAAGAACAAATGCAAAAATAAATATTTTTTTTTAATTCCTGATTAATGATGCTTATTTGAGTTGGATGTTGTGTAAATTTCATGTAAGTATCTTGTCAGAATTTTAAGCAAAGTGTCATGGAAACGAAGTACCCTCAAAATGAAAATTCACATAGAAAAATATCTATGGAGTGAGACCACCACTCGCTCTAATTACTACAAGAGTGTAATTACAGTTGAATACCATGTACCCCTGAATAGGAGATAAGCCCATCTGCTGCCACACCTACAATTTAGATCTTTCCAAACTGTTGAAATTGTGTGGAAAAGGGGGGGGGTGACATTTCTTATAAAATCCCAAATGTTTTAAATTGGATTCAGATCCGGAAATTTGAGAGTGTAGCATCACACAGATGCCTTTTGGTCAATATCCTAGGGCGTTTAGCACGTTAGTGCACCTCTTTAAGGATAATTCAAACTGTTTGAGCTGACATTAGACTGTCACGAGCACCGATTTCTGATCATTCTCGTACGATTGAAATTATTTGTTTTCATGTTTCTAAGATTGTTTCAGGACAATTTAACACTCTTTTAACATGGTGTGACGCGAAGTTTTGTCCTCAGACAAAAATCAAGGTCACTTCCGGTTTGGTTAAAATTTGTCAAAAACCATCAAATTGTGATAAATTGGTGATGAAAAATGACACACAGCCTATGGAAAAAAGTGTTTAAATGGGTTTTGATACTGGTTGTTAATTTTCAAAAGTAATATCAAGTACAATTAAGCATAAAATAAAAGTGAGTAAAACGTGTTGCAAAGATTGTCCAGATATCAACATTCCAACGGCTTTCCCTTCTATCTAAATGGTCAGTTTGCCGATATTTTGTGTTTTTTAGTGAAACCATTTTCTTAAAATTTGATAATGATCACAAAAGGATACTAATTACACAAAACATGTGCCACAAAGTACAGATCTATTGTTTTTAAGTTTCGTCACGGAACATTGGTTTTCATCAGTGATCATTGATTTTCTTTCAACAATTGTTGAGAAGACTCATTTGTTGTAATAATTTGAGAATATCACACCATTCTACAGAGTAGTTTTTAAATAAATACATTTATTAAAGTGAACACTTAGAAGTTTTGTTAAGTGTATATGAAGAACTGTATTTTTTTTTTATTTTAAAGGATATTATCCGACCTTACACTCATTGCTATATATCGCAACCTTTTTTATTTAAAATGTTCTCATAATAAAGAAACAAAGAGATTGAAAATAAACAAATTTAGATTTATTTCATAGTCACACAACTTATCATTCACAAAAATATGTTTTCCTGTGTGTTTAGGAGCTTTGCATTTTTGTCCTATGCAAATTTTGTCCTATACTTGGCACTTACGGCCATTACATGTAAGCAGGGAGGGATCTTTTTTTCTGCCAGCACTTAATGCGACAAGGGACCTCATATGAAGGATCGGTTTCCACGTCCCAAAGTATGATTCAAACCCGCTACTCTAAGCACTGTATCATTTCAACCCCCTATGTATTATGTTAATGGACGGGAGTTCCTGCACTGGAAGTCCAAGGGTTACAATAGGACTTTTGCTAGAAGTGATGACTTTTGCTGCTTAAGATTTACTTGGACATTTTAACCTGTATCATGTACGGGGTACAGAATTTATAATAGATAAGATAACCATTCTAATGGCCATAGGTATGGTGTTAGGGGCACTTACATGTGAAGACCGGAATCCGGAGTTGAGGGTAGAGTTGATGTCGTTTTCTTCAAGGACAACTTAATTACGTGTGCATTGAAATAACTCGTTATTTTCGGTAAATTAAATGTTGTGGTAAATATTAATATCGTAAAAGAACTTCCATACATTGTTTAAAAGTAAGCCGTCAACTGTAAAAGCCGGCGCTCCTTACAAAGTCCAAAACATAGAGAAAATTCAATCTCAGCATCAAAAAACAGGCATTTAAATTGTCAAAGAATATTTTTTTCGCCCAGGATGAGAAAGATAAACCTAATGCATCGGAGAAATCGAGCTGCATTTGTTGTTCATGGCGAACTTTCAATCTGTATTTAAAAGGTCTGAAATCAAGGTTTAATTGGTACATTTTGTTAGGATTATAGATAACACTGACATTTAAATCAAAATTTGTAAAAGAAATCGTTTTTCTGAATGAGATCCGCTCCAGCTTATCAGCATTTACATCAATCATGTAAACAATGAATCATCGGTATATCGATTCTCCATAATTTTTTGTCCTAAAATGCTTTAAAAAAAGAACTTAAAACATTTCTTCCAACAGATAAGAAATGTATTCGTATAAGTTTCCCAAATGTGGGAAATAATGAACAAACAACAAACACGATTTTTTCAGAACTATATCGTATGGAGTTGATTATTAAAAAGATGCACTTTAAAAGGCCCAATTATCTTTTCTTTTAGACCATTTTCATTTTTCGTCTATAGTAAGTAAATATTTTATTATAGTGACATGTGTATAGAAAACAAGTAAATACAATATAAACGTATATAAATCACACCCGGCCCATTAGACCTATATGTCACTTTAATATATGTACAGTATTACTATAATCATTTGAAGCGCGCATGATGGACATTTATATTGGACTGATATAAATATTTTTGTCTTAGTTGAAAACATAAGTTTATAAACTAGGCAGTTTGGCTCTGATGATTTTTCAATAAAATGTTTAAATTTTCAAATGGAGCTACATTTCTATCTAAATTAACATTATGAAAGAAAGTTTCTCTAAAATTTTCGTAGATTTTACAATGAAATAAAAAATATTTTTCATCCCCGACTGATTCGTCATTACATAGAACACAGCAACGTTTGATTTAAATGTTTCTGTTTGAACATTAAAGTTATTTGAATTTCGGAGACCATACAATTCGAAAATATAAAATGAACTATGGAAACAGCAAACACTTATTAAGCTAAAAATCCATTGAAACAATAAAAATATGGAGCAGGGCAGAGTCGTTCCAATTTTTTTTTATTTTACACTCGTCTGTAAGGTATTTAAAAGTCAATTTCATCTGACTTGTATATTTCTTCAGAAGAATTATGGGTTGGGACAAACTTTTCTCACTTTTTTCGGGTAATTGTCATCGAAAGAGCAATCTGGTTTTTGTCTTTTCTTGTCACATTCTTCGTACGACTTAATCAAACTTTTGTACTGATCTGAAACTTCCTTATGTTCGAGGCACATTGTTCCACCACCTCGTTTACATTGCGAGTTCTGAAAAAAGACTGTTAAATTAAACTTTGTTTTCTCGAACCTCAATACATGGAATATCAGGTATGTGTTGAAATTCATCAATTCCAACTACCTATAAGTCTGTATTTTTTCAGTTATCTTGAATTGTCGAATACCTCGAAATTTATTTATTTTGGTTCATTCGAGATCGAGATACAGAGGTTTGAATTAATTTAAAGTTACACCAGCAGAATATATGCCACCAATTATCGTTCAACAAATTCTTTTTTAAGTTTTATCATTTACTTAAAATATTTTGTTTTATTGAGAAGTATTTCGCACATACTAATATTACGAGGATAGTTCGAATTTGATAACAACATACTATCACTCACCGCTCTGTTCAAATCTCCTATACATATCCAGTTTTTATTTTCTGTCACTGCCCATTTAGAATGATCCTTCGAAGATCTGAATTCATAGCCATCATTGAAGATAATTTCTTTGACATTCCATATCTTAAAAATAATACAAATTAAAATATACACTGTTTCAAAGCACATTTATTGTGATTGCAGTCAAAACAAGGGAAAAAAGTCTTCATTGGGTCTATTAAATCAAGTTTTGTTCGATGTTCGATGATTTTCAATATACATGACCGTTCACGGTAGCCCATAGGTAGAGCGTTCGCTTCGTGATCGGGAGACCCGGGTTCGATTCTCGTTCCCGCACCGCGTCAAACCTAAGACGTAAAAATAGGCAGTGACTGTTTTTTCCCCTAAGCGCTCGGCATCAGAAGTGAAAGTCACGGGTCTTTCGGATATGACCTTAAAAACGTAGGTCCCGTGTCACGGTAGGCGCTGACAAGATAAAGAACCCTCATTGCTCAATGGCCCTGAGTGCCAAGTATAGGTCTAAATTTGAGCCCTTCATCGGCAAACGGCAAATCTCCATATGATTGAAAAATTTTCGAGAGGGACGTTAAACAATATACAATCAATCAATCATTATACATGTATCCTCTTATAATGAACTTTCAAGTTTAATCCTGTCGTGGTAAGTGAATTTCCGACATTGTGTATCCAACAGAAAAAAAGAAGGCATATTTATTATTGGTCTTAAAGTTGGAAATAAATTATATAAATATAACCCTTTGATGAGGTCGATCCATAGATATATCGACAGAAATGCATATCGGCCGAGCACGAAGTGCGAGGTCGATATGCTTTTCTGTGAAGTCGATATATCTATGGATTGACGAATTGAAGGGCTACATTTGTTATATTATTTTTTTACAGGGATTTTAAATCAACCATAAGTTTTCTCTCTTGTCTTTTGTTAACACTGAGAGTCTAGAGATCCAAATTAATTAATCTGGTTATTGTAATGTGTGTACCGATGGGGTGATAAAGGGGATCCTTTTTAAAAAGTTAATTTGTCTAATTCAGTTTTGCATTGATTTTTGAAAAACATATCTATTATGTTTTAACATAACGTAGAATCTTCTTCAAGGCATCGCAATTATAATAAAGAGCTGAAGTACAATCTTTTTTTTTTATTTTTTTTTAAAATCAAGTCATACTCTGTCTAAGCTAGTTTGAATTCAGCACAAATGTTTTACAGAAAATTATATCCTTTTTAAAAAGCATTAAGTCGATATTCATTTTAGAATCTATAAATAGTAACTCAAGTCTATATATTGTTATATAATCGATCATTTGATCATGTTAAAGCAAATCAAAGAGCTTGGAATATATACATGTATATTAGAAAAATGATATATGTTCTTATAAAGAAAAATGCAGTCAATGATGATAGAAAAAAAATCTTCCTTTGTTGGTTTTCATTATTTCTTACCAGTCCTTTACTTAAGGATAAAAATTAACATCCCCCACCAAAAAAAGGCAAACATAAAACATAACCAAAGGAAAAAAAATAGCAAAAATAAGAATACTACCATTAAAACAAGAAATAAATCAATCATTCATAAAATATTTTTAAAAATGTGAAAGATTAGAATGCCAGGTACACAATCAATAACCCATCCTCCTGCCAAATTTATCTTTCAGTTTTTCATGGCGTTGATAGAAAATGGATAAATAAATCATTTTCCAAGAATTATGGACGTGGTATCCGCAGCTTTAGCAATTTACGCTATTACAGAGAAATGAAAGTTAAAAGATAATGGAATATGATTAATCTCACCCCATCCCAAAATGATAAAGAGCAAAAACCGATTTGTGTTAAAGACCCATATACATAATGCTTCTTATACTTGAGACAGGAACATCTTTTTATACGGTCTCATCCGAAGGACCGTTTTTCACGTCGTCAGTTTGATTTAAATCCGCGACGTGAGGATCAACTTCTCGCTCCGCGACCACTGCGCTGCAGGGCTGACTAAACTTTCGTTCATAAATACATTAATAACAAATAATTGAATTATAAATGTATGGTGAAACAAATTAATTAAAACTAATTCGAAAAAAGAATTATTTACCTTGAACTTGTCACACGAAGAAGAAAAACTGTCTGAGTCTTCCGAACGCCATGTTTCTACTTTTAGATCGTCCATCAACTTTTCTGCAACGAGCTTTCGATACAAATCTGAATGTAAAAATGTTTAAGTTGAATGGTCATATTAGAACTTCTCTGGAGGGATGAGTCAGGAAATAAGTCGACAATTACGACTGTATCAATCTAATTAAAATTAGATGTTAGATCCGCTTGCCTACTCGCTACACAAACATCTAACAACATCCCATTGAGGGTCACGTCAGAGGTCAAATTCTTTCAACCAATCAAATCGTTGTTTGCAAAATCATTGTATATTGTTGAAGCGAATAAGTCTAGAGCCGTTCCGAATTTGACCTCTGACGTGACCCTCAATGGGATGTTGTTGGATGTTAGTGTAGCGAGTATGCGAGCGGATCTAACATCTAATTTTAATTAGATTACGGCTGTATTTA